CTGATGCCTCTAAGTTTTGGACTGTCTCACAAATGGAAACATTTTCTCTCACCTATGCTATCAAATGTTTTCATTACCTTAATTCTAAGAAATTATCTGATTTTTGTACTTCCTCTTGTTTTCCCTTTTATGTAAAGATGCACCTGAATGAAGGTTCTATATTATTTTTGATTAATGTCTCTGCTCTGCTTTTCAATTCTATTCCTCTATGAGTAAATTCCCTTTAGTCGCTTGTTTTCTTGTCTTACTAACCTGTCACGATGTGTATTTGTGTGAATAGATATCTTTGCTATATTAAAGTATCAATTCAAGAGTTAGATTCATAAATATCATTTGGACAATTACTGAGTGAGGCACATACATACTCATCTCCCCAACTCCTCAAGTTGCTGAGAATTGACATCAATCCACAAGATGGCACACTTGCACTAAACAATAAGAGGTTTGACGAAAATTTAAAAAATTTTTAAAAATCAATAAAAGAATTGGACATAGCTTCTAAAGACAGGACATAAAGAAAGACGAAATCTTTATAACACTGGCAAATTATATCTGAATCTTGATTAGTTTAAAAATACATGTGACACCCATTTGAACCTGAAAAGACTGAACTATAAAGAGCACCAACTTCACATTAATTTCATTTAATCTTTACCATACTAGTAAGATGAAGGAGGAACACAGTTGCAAACCATGCTTCCCTAAAAACAATATGGAAGGAAATGTCTTTTGTCCATCTGACAAGGAGACTCTCAATTGTGATGTACAATCGTCATTTTGAATGAATTGATGTTACAGAACATCTTTATACCTCAAAAGAAACAAGCACTTCAGATTTCTTGAGGGTTGTGAGGACAAAATAATCCCACATGATTAGTAGACACAGACAATTGCTAATGCTGCAAAGTTTTTGATATCTTAAAATTAGCAGCTGACCCTGCCTTAACTGCTGTTTGCAAAACAGAATTTCAAACATTAACTTTTGCATGTAGAGTGCTTCATCACTTCACTCCTGAAAGACTTGGTTCTAAATGTTAGGCTAGGCCTCCTAGTTCCAGATTCCATAACCAGCAAATAGTTTTTCATCTACGCTGTCAATATTCCGTATCAAAAGAGGTGATGGACTAGTGGTATTATCGCTAGACTATTAATCCAGAAACTCGATTAATATTCTGAGGACCTGGGTTTGAATATCACACAGCAATGGTGGAATTGAGAATCTACTGATGACCATGAAACCATTGCTAATTGTTGGAAAAACCTATGTGGCTCACTAATGTCCTTCAGGGAAGGAAACCTGCCATCCTCGCTGGTCTGGCCTACATGTAACTCCAGACTCTCAGCAACGCCCTCTGAAATGGCCTAGCAAGCCACTCAATTCAAGAGCAGCTAAGGGAAGGCAATAATTGCTGGCAAGCCAGCGATGTCCACGTCCCACGAGTGAATGAGAAAATATCGGGAATGAGAGTATTTGAAGACAGAATTTTTTTTTGTGACAAGGAATCATATGATTATGGCACTTTTTAATGATATGTAATAGCTATATTTTATGTATAGATTTCAGATTGGTATTGTGTAAAAAACAGGATTAATTCAATACATCAGTGTCTACAACTGGCAATTGGCAGTGACCACAAAATTATTTATTCATAAACAGGTTTTTGTCCAGCATGCTGTAATGATGGGCAGGGGTATCAATCTTTTACAATTTACATCAACGAGTTATACGAGGGAGTAAAAGACACAGCAACTAAATTTGCAGATGACACAAAGGTGCGCGCGCGCACACACACACACACACACATTGTGCAGATGAATTTGAAAGCAGATAATTACACAAACAGAGTGACTGCAGAATTGTGAGGTACAAAAGGATTTCAGTGTTCTCACACGAATCATAAAGTAGGTAAAGGACATAATCAAGAAAGCTAATAGGATGCTATCCTTCATTATGAAAAGGAACTGAATGAAAAAGTAAAAATTGCTATGCCTCAATTATACGGGACGTTGATGAGTCCATACCTCCAATGAGTGCAGTTTTGATCTCCTTATTTAAGGATAGATGTAAGCGCATTGTCAGAGGAGGTTTACTGCACTGATAGCTGAAATAAATTAGTCATCTTATAAGACAAGTTGGACCAGCTGGAGAGTATTAAAGAATGTGGAGTAACTTGAACTATGTGTATAATATATTGAATGGTCTTGACAGGATGAAAATGGAAAGGATGTTTTCAAGTCCAGAACTAGTGGACACTGTTTTAAAACAATGGTTGTTCTTTCAGGACCATAGGACGCAAGAGCAAAAGTGTGCCATTCAATGATATCATAACCAATCTGATAATCCTCAACTCCACTTTTCTGCCCTTTTCCCATAACCTTAAATCCCTAACTGGTTAAAAATCTATCTTAGTTTTTAATATACTTATTGAAACAGCCTCTGCAGCCCACTGCGGTAAATAATACTACAGATTCACTACTCTCAGAGAAGAAAACTCTCATCTCAGTCCTGAGTGATCATTTACTCCAAGATTAAGCCCTTCGGTCCTCGACTCTCTTACAAGGGGAAACAACTCCTCAGGGGTATTAGGGAATATTGTCACGGAAACACAAATTAGCCATGATATTAAATTAATGAACGGCGGAGCAGATTCAATTCGCCAAACAGACTACTTCTGCTCCCATTTCATACATTGGAATATAAATACAAATACTCCTAGACCTCTTCAAATGAGCGGAAATATTACATTTTATATGGGTGGAAACATCAAGTTTTACCCTTGTCTATCTTCTATTACCATCAAGGCTGCCAACCAATGCATTTGTATCAAATCACCGAAGTGACTTCAGCATCTCGCCATGCAATGTAGTTAGGTCATATAATACAGAATGAAGTCCGTACTAAGAACAAAACATGACTTTGCTGGATTATGTATATGTGAAGCCAAGCAAAAAGGACTAAGGCAGCTCACAAACTATTTTCCAACTTGATATCATTGTATTTCACCTCCAATTTGCTCAAGAACAATCAGGAATGGGCAATGAATGCTGACCTTGAAAATGATGCCCACATTCCATGCACAAATGTATAAAGCAAGTCTAATAAAAGTACGTGTATTACAGATCACCATATATTACAAATTTGAAATAATATTTCTTATAGAGTCATAGAGATGTACAGCACAGAAACAGACCTTTCTGGTCAGCATGGACGAGTTGGACCGATATCCTAAATTAATCTAGTCCCATTTGCCATATCCCTCCAAACCCTTCCTATTCATATACCCATCCAGATGTCTTTTAAATGTTGTAATTGTACCAGCCTCCACCACTTCCTCTGGCAGTTCATTCCAAACACGCACCGCTGTGAAAAAGTTGCCCTTTAGGTCCGTTTTAAATCTTTCCCCCTCACCTTAAACCTTCACCCTCTAGTTTTGGACTACCCTAAACTGGGAAAAAGGCCTTGAATATTCACACTATCCATGTCACTCATGATTTTATAAACTTCTAAGGCCACCCCTCAGCCTCTGATGATCTAGGGAAAATAGCCCAGCCTTTTCAGTCTCTCCCTGAAGCTCAAACCCTCCAATCTGGACAACATCCTTGTAAATCTTCTCTCAACCCTTTCAAGTTTCACAACATCATTCCTCTAGCAGGGTGTTCAGAATTGAACATAGTATTCTAATAGTGTCCTAACCAATGTCCTGTACAACTATAACATGTTCTCCCAACTCCTATACTCAATGCACTGACCAATAAAGGCGAGCGTACCAGACATCTCCTTCACTATCCTGTCTACCTGCAACTCCACTTTCAATGATCTATGAACCTGCACTCCAAGGTGTCTTTGTTCAGCAGTACTCCCAGGACCTTAACATTAAGTGTATTAAGTCCTGCCTTGATTTGTTCTATCAAAATGTAGCACTTCACATTTATCTAGATTAAATTGCCACTCCTCAGCCATCGGCTTATCTGAGAAGTACTTTGATAAAATGCTATTTTATCTACTTATGCAGGTTTCTGCGAAGCTCTGCATATTCCCTAGTGACAAAAACAAACCCAGTTAGGTACCTCTCCCACTCCAAACTGATCGCACTATTCTAGGTACAGCATTAGTTCTGAAGAGGAGTCATACCAGACTAAATGTTAACTCTCTCTCTGCAGACAATCTCAGACCTGCTGAATTTTGTAAATTTTATGCTTCCATCTACAATATTTACTTTGACAACTATTCTCATGTCATTGGCAAACTAGAATATATGGCTTTATCATTACTACCTTGTGGGTTACCACTTGTTACATCGTGTCAATTGTAGTATCTGTCTAGTATTCCTACTATCATTATTCTGGTTACCAGCCAATCCTATAGCCAGGTCAATAATTTGCCTTCAGGTCCTTGAAATTCAGTTTTAGCTAACAGTATCAAAAGGCATTCGGGAAGTTCATATAAATAATATTCGTAGGCATTCCCTGTCCCTAACTTCAGTCACCCATTTAAAAAATTCAATCAATCAGACTAGTCAGGTATGACACAGGTTCACAAATTCATGTTTCTCCTTTTGGGCAGTTTAAAGTTTAAGAAGTTGAATCACTCTATCCTTAATTGTAAACTATAGTAATTTGCTACACAACATGTTTGGGTCAGCCAGTCTATAACTCCCTGGTTTCACCTTCCGATTTAAATCATCGTGACAAATGCAATTTTCCAATCCAAAAGGAACAGTTTCTGAATCAAGCAAACTTTGGAAGATAATAGTGAATGTAGAATGAAAAGTAAAACAAATACAAATCCATAAAATTATAATATGGAGAATAAAAGTTAAACTAATTTGGCTAATTTCACAAATGCTGCAAAAGATAAACACTCATGCATAAATGCAATTATTACTAAATAAAAACTCAGTTCACTTCTGCAATGTATGGAATTTACTGATATATTTCACATTATAGATAGTTAATTCAGTTTGGTGCCACCAGATAATAAGAAAGTCATGTTATTTTACCTAACACAGGTGAGATTTCACTGTCTTCCCCACCCGAGTTGAGAAACACGTCTAGTGCTTCCTGGTCAGACATATCCAATAGGTCCATCTGCTCCAGCATGTCAACGTTTACCTCCATAGAAGACATACTTCCAATGGGCTCTGGGTTTTAAAAAAATGAACATTAAACAAATACACCAACACCAGAAAAACAAATAGATTTATTTTAATAACATAATGTGAACATAGGAAATAGAACAGGATGAAAACAACCAGCTGTATTTTTTTCAGTTCTGAGGTGTTGTTTGCATGTTTAGTATCATGGAAGGAAAATTCCCTGACTTTGTAGTGTCAAAAGAGATGAGGCCTCAACATCCAGAATGTTGAAAACCCGCTTAAATAACCTGGAAACCTTACACATTGGAAGATTTCCAGATACGTGCTTCTAGACAGCAAAAACCTTTCAGCTCCAGTGAAAGTATAAGAATCAAACTTCTTTGACGTTTGGATTATTTGACCTCAAACGGGAAATTTTTAAAACCAACAGTGTGGTGAATATTAGAACACTCTCAACTCCTCTCATTTTCTTCAGGTAAGAGGGGTGGCCATGGGTACCCGCATGGGCCCTAGTTATGCCTGTCTCTTTGTGGGGTACATGGAACATTCCTTGTCTCAAATAATGTCTCAAAGCCATTTACCAACAAGGCTCAGCTTCAAACAGGACTCCCTATTTTTAAGAGGTAATAAATTGAATGGAACATGGTAAGTATGGAAATAGCTGACTGCAGAAGAAGCGTGAATCAAAGAAAGGATATTTTAAAGAGATTGTAGGTAATCTGGACAATTTTCCTCATGTTTACATATGCTGGCAGAGAGATATGATCAAAGATTTAGGTTCCTTCTTTTACAATTCCTTTTCCCAGTGACACTTTTCTATAAGTTTCATGCTGTAGCATAGAACAAGATACTACAAAAATTACAACAGAAAATATCAAATTAACATTATGGAGATCTGATGCAACCCATCGGGATAGTTACTCTTCATGGACGCTTGCTTCTCTTCTTCCATCCTGCTTGCACTGAGAAGGATCTGAAGACGGAGGCCAACTGGTGACTGATGGATGTCGCAGGGACTGGGAGCATACGGGTAACATGAAAACTTAAGGTTCCTCCTGTCTTTTTTGATTTAGTTCTTTATTACTTGCTGCCCCTCTTTGAAGGGCTCGTCTTCTCACTCTCTCACCTTGCCCGAGGCTTGGTGACCCTCAAGTTAAACCACCACTAACTAGTTGTCTCTCTCTAATGAGAGAGCAGCCCTATGACTCAGAGATTCTGACAACTTTACCTTTTCTTACTTGTTCCTTCTAAACATGAAGCACTTGTGTTTTTGTTGATGACACTGTAGCAGTCAAGTGTCTGTTTATTGCTTTATTGAGATAAGGCTTACTAAAAGGAATATGAAGCTAACATTTGTTAGAGAATGAAGGGATATTGATTATAGACTGTGAAGGTCCAGATGATGTGGATTATTGGCATGATTAGCCCTGGGAACTGCAGGATTGCAAATGTGACACTGTTGTTTAAGAAAGGGGAAAATGATAACTCAGGAAACAACAGACCTGTCAGCTTGACATTGATAGTGGGAAAACTGATGGAGGCCAAATAGAGGATAAGGTAAATATACGCTTAGAGAAAAATAAGTTAATACTAAACAATCAACATGGCTTTGTCAAGGACATGTCAAATCTGACACATATAATTGAGTTTTTTGACGAGGTAACACAGGCAGTAGGTGAGGGTAGTGCTCTCGATATCGTATATTTGGACTATCTGAAAACATTTGATACAGTGAAATATAGCACATAGTTTAGCAAATTAGAAATAGCTGGGATTGATTGGTCTTGGCAGCTAAAAGATAGGAAACGGAGGGTTGGCACTGATGGGCATTTCTCAGATTGGAGACAAATTGAAAGCAGAATCAGTGTTGAGACCCATGCTTTTTCGGATTTAAAAACTGTTGGGAGATGGGCATTGAAGGCAAAAATATCTAAATTTGTTGATTATATTAAGCTAGGGAGAATACGGAATTGAGAGGATGACACTAAGCAACTTCAGAAGGACAATGACAAGTTGGCCAAATGGACAGACACTCGATAGATGAATTTCAATGCAGAGAAATATGAAGTAATGCATTTTGGCAGAAGAAATAGGGAAAGACAATATAGGCTCAACTTCAAGGGGAATACAGCAGCAGGGGAACCTTGGGATTACATGCGTGATTCGCTGAAGGTGGCCAGGCAAGTTGAAACAGTTGTTAAGAAGCCTTATAGGATCCTTGGGTTTATAAATAGAGGAACAGAGTATAGAAGCAAGGAAGTGGTGATACACCTCTACTAATCATTGATCAGATCACATTTGGAAAATTGTGTTCAGTTCTGGGCACCATATTTCAGGAAGTATGTTAAAGCCCTGGACAGAGTTCATGGAGGTTTACCAGAATGATAGCTGAAACGAGGAATTTTAGGTACAAGGAAACAGTAGAGAATTTGGGCTTATTCTCCTTGGAGCAGAGAAGATTAAGAGATAATCTTATTAAAGTGTTCAAATATATGAACAATTTTGATAGAGTAAAGAAGAATATTGTATTTTCATTAGTTGGTATGTCAGTAACTAGGAGTCACAATTTCAAGGTTGTGAGTAAGAAAGGTAGGAGTGAGAGAAGGAGAAACTTCTTTATTCAGAGTTGTTAGGATTTGCAATGCACTGCCTGAGAGAGTGGGTAGAGACAGATTCCATAGGAAGTTTTTTCAAAAGAGAGCTGGACGTATATTTGAAATTGATGAATTTAGAGGGCTATGGAGACAGGACTGGAGAATGGACTAGTTGGGTAGCTCTTTCAGGAGCAAGTATAGATGTGATGGGTCGAATGCCTTCCTTCTGTACTGTAAAGTTCTCTGATTCTAAGCTACTATTCCTATAATGTTCCAGAGTGTCATGGATCAGGTACTATGATAATGAAAGGAATTTCCAGCTTCTTAGATGACAATCTAATTAGCAGCAAGATAGACAAGAACCAACATTAATGTTGAACATGTTCTGGATTGTCATCCAGAATATGGCATCAAAACTAAAAAGCTAAAGTACTCTTTACGATGCAACATACTATGAGTCACCAAATTGATTGTGAAGGGGTTGACTCAACATAGGCGATGATTAAAAGGGATTTGAAAGCAAAGGGAAAAAAGAACTTAAAACATTGATAGGACTGTGTTATTCTAACTTCATTGCTGACTTAACTAATACATTTGCTTTACTGTAGATGTAGAAACTGCAAGTTGATGTCATTAAGCAGGAAGATTAAGAGCTGCACTCAGTCAGACAGTATGAAAAATAGCACATTAAATGTGAAAGTAATACGGTTGATGACAAAATTCCAGCTGTAGAAATAAAATTTGGAGATTCACAACTTAATTTTTGTCATTTACGTAGCTGCAATCATAATTATCATCTCGGGATGAGAGTACAGGAGAAGGTTGTTGGTTTGCTCGCCAAGCTGGCTGGTTATCATACAGACATTTCATCACCATGCTAGGTAACATCATCAGTGCAGCCTCCGATGAAGCGGTGTTGTTCTACTCCAATTGGTATTTATGTGATCCAGTCTGTTAAGTTGGGTTGTGTTGTTTCTGGTTCTGTTCTGCATGGGTTTGTACATGGGATCTAATTCCACGTTTGTTGATTGCATTACAGGTTGAAAACCAGGCCTCTAGGAATTCCCATGCATGTCTGTGGTTGGCTTGAACTAGGATGGTAACGTTATCCCTGTTAAATTGATGGCCTTCATTGTCCAGGTGCACTAAGGTGAGGGAAAGTTTGTCGTGTCATTTTGCTGCTAGCTGGTGTTCATGTATCCTGATGGCTAGTTTCCTTCCTGTCTGGCCAACGTAATGTTTGTTGCAGTCATTGCAAGGTATTTTGTAAACTACACTGGTCCTGCAATGTTATGGATATGGTGTCTTTGGTCCTTGTGAGTGCTTATCACAATGTGGCTGTGGGTTTGTGTGCTACCATAATTCCTAGTGGTCGCAGGAGTCTCATTGTCAGTTCTGATATGTTCTTGACATGGGTAATGTAGTCAGTGTATAGGGGCATACTGTGTCCTCTTGGCATAGTTTATCTAGTAGGCACCTGTGGATGAAGTTGTTGGGATATCCATTGTTAACAAAGATCTTGTATAGGTGCTCTTCCTCCTTCCTGCATGGTTCTGGCGTGTTGCAGTGAGTTGTGGCCTGTTTAAATAGCGTACTAACACTGTTTTGTTTGTGGACACCAGGATTATTACTGTGGTAATTGAGGATTTGGTCAGTGTGGGTTGCCTGCAGGGTTCTAATTGAGTGTTTGTCTGTCTTCACAAAGGAATGATGCATACATTCTAGTTGAAGAGGAGTGTGAAATATTAGTTAAAAGAAGCATAATAAGAAATTAAGTAGTACAGGGACTGAATTCCTTGGAGCAGGTAAAATAACCAGCGGCAAATGAACTGTTTCAGAGACAGCAGGAACTGCAGATGCTGGAGAATCTGAGATAACAAGGTGTACAGCTGGATGAACACAGCAGGCCAAGCAGCATCAGAGGAGCAGGAAGGCTGACGTTTCGGGCCTAGACCCTTCTTCAGAAATGAACTGTGTCCGCTTAATGGAAGGCAGGAGGAAATAGCTACAGGCAGGGTACCAAAGGGTTGGCAATCTAAAATGTCGTACCATTATTCAAATAGGGTGCAAGGAATAGGCCAAATAATTATACGCTAGACAGTCTGACCTCAGTGGTGGGCAAAATGCTCGAGTAAGCATACAGCTACAGGTTTAAATGCTACTTAGAGAGGCAGGGATTAATCAGTGATAGTCAGCATGTCGTTTTTAATGGTAGGTCATGTTTTACTACCTTAATTGAATTTTTTTTAAGGAAGTAACAAGGAGGATTGATGAGGGTAGTGTAGTATACATTGTCTCCATGGATTTTAATAAGACATTAGACAAGGACCCGGATGGCAGAATGTTAAATAAAAATTAAAGCACAGTCAATCACTAAACTCAGCAGTGACTTCTAGCCACATATCACCCTCTGGCTGAAGGTGGTTTTTTTTTCATATCCCCTTTAATTCTTTTGTCTTAAGTTGTGTCCCTCAATAATTGGCATACAGGGAAATATGGTGAACGGATCCAGAACTGGTTCAGTTACAGAAAACAAAGGGTACTGACTGACAGGTGTGTTTTGAGAACAGAAAGCAGTTTCCAGTCATCCATCATAGCTTACTTCGAGTCCTTTTCCTTTTGTGGTATTTATGTATACTTGATAATTTATACAAATGTATGAGGCTGAATGGGTAAATTTTCAGAGAACTCAAAAATTGACCAGATAGTTGAAAGTGAAAAAGGGATGACTGTAGAGTGCAGGAAGCTATCAACGGTTTGGTTGTGTAGTCAGAAAAGTGACAAATGCATTATAACCCAAAGAAGTGTGAGGTTATGCATTTCATCAGGGCAAACAAAGCAAGGGAATACCCAAAAAATAGAACCATTCTGAAAGCGGTGGATAAAGTGAGAGACATTGGAGTGCATGTCCACAAGATCCTGACGGTGGTAAGACAGTTGGATAAGGTTGTACGAAGGGATACGAGATGATTCCTTTCATTGGTTGAATACAAGAGCAGGGAATGCTGGAATTACAGCAAGCTTTTTATTAACCGCCATCTATGGATCCAAGAGTGTGCTGGTTGATCAAATATTCCAGGTACAGTCTAGATCTACGCACAACCACAGTAAACTCTGACCAAGCAAAGCTTCGA